TTGCGTGTTAGATTGGTATACGATTGCGATTCGATTTGTTTATTGTCGGGATCGTGGCCGGAACGATTTGAAGGCGATCGGTTCAACTTTACAACCTTCAAGTTGGTTGTTATTCGATATCGATTTCGCTTCTAAGTTCAACTGCTTAAAGGCAGTAAAGACTGGTTACCACGAGTCCTTTTAGATAAAATACTTGACAATGAAGCAAAAAAGTAAAGCCAGTATACGTAAACAGTTATTATAAATAGGTAGACCAAAATGGGTGTCTTAATGTATATAAAGAATGAGAAAATTGATGATGCGCCATGCAACATTTATGTCCTTGCTTGCATCTCTATACTACAGACATATAAAAGTTATGTGGAGGAACTGTACAATTCAATGGAGGCTTCCTTTTCCTGGTTAAAATCTGCGTTGTTGTTTGGAGATGGTCTGAACGCGGTCGCGTGGTGGACTATATCCCTCTGTGCAGAGGAGGCCTTTGCTCATTAGTGGCACGCATAATACAGGACGTAAAACATATCCTATTAAACTTTATTTAAGGACTCTTTTTCATGTAAGAAGATGATATTTAGTGATAACCGCCGCTTGTGGACATTTGCAACGGTTGTGGGTTGCAGATGCGTTGCCACCTTTTAATAAAGTGGGCCCTGGCTACCTCGCTCACCAGAAGAAACGCAGAAGTTTATCTTCCAATTCCCGCCGGTCTTCTGTGAGTTTGTGGTACGTCCCGAGGCGGACCTAAAGGTTATCTTAACAGCATTACAAAGATAAACCCAAATAAACCTTAAATTGCGCCAATCTCTTCGGCTCCACAATTCAGGAGCGCAAACGAGTGCGCTCGCAATTACACGGTAAGAGCGTCTCGGTTGTATTCAAGGTAACGCTCAAAGGAACGCTCGTAAAATAAGCTTAAGAGCCCACTATGAAAGACACAGGAGTAAGCAATAAAGCAAACGGCCCGGCACAGTGCATATAAAAAGCGGGGCCGTCCGTCTTTCCGCCGCCGTTAATAATTGACGACTCAAACTGCCGAGTTGTGTTCCTCATACAATATTTATCCCCCTACCTACCCCGTGTTGCCGCCTGCCCGATGTTTGAGGCGTACATGTATAAATGCACGCGCCCACTTAAACCAATTCCCCCTGCATTGTCGGCCGTTCGACTTTTGCTTTTGTTAAGAGGCACAATGCAGAATATACTCGTTAACGCATCACTACATAGTATAAAACAAAGTCGTCCCGCTGTCTGCCTCTCTATGTTTTCTACTAGATAGAGTGATTCACGAGGAAGGTTTACATATACATAGCACCCGTGCGAAGCTGGGGCGGGTCACTAGTTTTTTTAATATCAACGAGTTGGATGGACATGCACAACACCTGATGGCTTGCAAATGAGTTGACAACATTAAAAGTTGTTCTGTACGCACAGTGTTTATGTTTATCAAATGAAAACGACGAACAAAACTCTGCTCTGAACATGCAATCGATTGACACTCCGATATTTTGATGTCGTAATAGTTACAGTAAAAATTGGAATGTAAATAAAATTGCAACATTACTTCACGAATTTAGTCACGTCTAATTGTTTTTTAATCACGCGAGTTCGTATTTGAACACCTGCACTTTCATTCGGGTATGGCCATTTGTTATAATGTAAGCTTGTTTGGTTTTGTCCCAAACGTTAAATGTGTGGATAGCATTAGAAATGCCCAAAAAATCATTGTATGCGTTCGAAAAGTAAAAGAAAAAATATATCCCTAAAATCCTAAAAAGCTGAGTGACAAAATATATTAAATTTAGTGAAAAATCCGTTAAAATCCATGACTTTACAAAAACTACACAAATTTAAAGTCAAAGAAAAAATGTACACAATTTCGTCAATGCTCATTGCGTAACAACAATTTATGAACACATCAGAAACCAAACTTTTATTTATAGTCTGTCGTGGACTTATCTATCAAATACAATGAGATTGATAGCGTCGAATAGGTGTGGATCTTAACGGGTCCATTGTTCTTTATTTATCTTAAATTCTTACTTTCTCCAACAGGTGAGAAATATGGGACAAGTTTATACGACGTCGATTCGAATTGGTCACGAGCGGAACATACATTTATTAAAAAGCAACATATATAAATATTACAAAGTATTAAATACTATTTCAAATACAAAATTGTATGGCAATAACTTACTTCATAGGGCAGGCAGGCTAGGCCCCTTGTGTATATTTAAATTAAATATTTTTCATTTCCATTTTTCAATAACGTCAAATTAAAATGGACATAGTTAATTTTTCAAAGAAGGTCAAAGAGTGAACTCTTTCCATAACATGCTCAAAATGTTTAAACCTACAAAAGTAAGACATGTAATCAAAGGTATTAACATGACTTTGGTATTAATTCCATTCTTTTTTCTACACTAAGACATCTTACTTTAATGGAAAAGTTATAATTTATTTTTGAATACAAAGTCATAAGCAAAATATCACAAAAAACGATTGCAATTGCCAATCTTCTTTCACTCCTGTACTTCAAGTAGTTTTTGATTTTAATTGATTGTAAACTTTATATTAAAATAGACAGTTAATCACTCAACTTAATATCCGACGCGACTAACGAAAAAACATCACTTAATATTTAAATATCTACTACACTCGCTTGCTTTATTCTGGACTGATAAATCTCATCCATTCGTCATAGATAAAACATTATTTTATTTCTGTCTTCTAATCAATAACCGATGACATTTGAATTAATATTATCGAATTCCGTTTCAACAGTGGCACAAGTTTGAATGTTAGAGGTTAAAAAGTGAAATATACAATTTTAATTTAAAAGGACTATTCACTTTCTATATTTAACGTGTAAAGTTTAACTTTCAATTTTTTCGATATTTCGTTTAGACGTGTACGGTTAAAATATTAATGGAATTTGAGGCAAATGTCTAATCAATTTTTATTTTTTATTTAATCTATTCTATTATTATTTCATCAACTTTATATATCACTGTGGTAGGGCCACGCAACAGCTTTTGTTGCACGAATGGGCAGGCTCGTCCGAGTAAGTACCACGGCCTAACAGAAGACCGGAGTGAAGTGGAAGTATTAAACTTTCGCGTTTCGTCCGGTGAATGATATATATATGATCCGGTAATGTATATATATGATATATATATATATATATATATATATATATATATATATATATATATATATATATATATATATATATATATGTATATATATATATATATGTATATGTATATATATGTATATGTATGTATCTATATATTTACTTATGTACATATATGTTACATTTTATGGCACATTTATTAACTTAAATTTTTATAGTATTCATTTAGCACCTACCATCTAGTTTTCACCATGACAAGGGTTGACTGGTAGAGAATGCCATTAGGCATTAAGTCCGTCCATTGTAGGCTTAAGGTGTAACAATGAAGCTTAAATAAATAAATAAATAAATGAGGTAAACGGCGCCCATTTTTAACGGTTGTCAACGTAAACCCTCGGGTGACCATGGCGGCGGTATACACTTACATCAGGTGGACCGCCTGCTCGCCTGACAAAATTACACATAAAACAAACACCGCATTTGTTTTAAACTACGTGATATATCGTTTTCCAGTCGAATCTAATCCCAAAGTAATCCCAAAGTAAACTCGCGACCAGTGAAAGTGTAAAGCGTACGACTGTGGAACTATTTACCGACCGCTCACTCTGTCAGAGCCATTAGTAAACGAATTAATCAAGCCAACTCGTACTAAATCCTATCGGCGCCCTAGTCAGCCCTTGTTGGAACGGGCCAACTTTTAATAATACAACAAAACAACGCAAAGCCTTTGTATATGTATGTATCTATATATTTACTTATGTACATATATGTTACATTTTATGGCACATTTATTAACTTAAATTTTTATAGTATTCATTTAGCACCTACCATCTAGTTTTCACCATGACAAGGGTTGACTGGTAGAGAATGCCATTAGGCATTAAGTCCGTCCATTGTAGGCTTAAGGTGTAACAATGAAGCTTAAATAAATAAATAAATAAATGAGGTAAACGGCGCCCATTTTTAACGGTTGTCAACGTAAACCCTCGGGTGTTACAGATGTCCATGGCCGGCGGTATACACTTACATCAGGTGGACCGCCTGCTCGCCTGACAAAATTACACATAAAACAAACACCGCATTTGTTTTAAACTACGTGATATATCGTTTTCCAGTCGAATCTAATCCCAAAGTAATCCCAAAGTAAACTCGCGACCAGTGAAAGTGTAAAGCGTACGACTGTGGAACTATTTACCGACCGCTCACTCTGTCAGAGCCATTAGTAAACGAATTAATCAAGCCAACTCGTACTAAATCCTATCGGCGCCCTAGTCAGCCCTTGTTGGAACGGGCCAACTTTTAATAATACAACAAAACAACGCAAAGCCGCAGATAAGCCGCCATTAACACAGCTGGCTAATACAAGGAGACGTCTGATAATTGACTGGACCTAATCCCAATGCCTTTCGGAATTTATAAGGTGGAAATATTGCATTTTGCTCTTTATAATTTCATGTATCTGAAGCTATATTGTAATATATTCCAGTTGTGCATAGCGTTTAATTTCCCTTGGCAATTATTTTAATCATATTCACTCTGATATTTTCCACGTGTTTCTGCTCAATTACCTATAACGACAGATAAATCTCTTACAGCTCGTTCGTAAGGTTTCACGTATTTATTAATTAATAAAAAATTATCTCTTTAGTTGTACAGTTTTAATTTTTTTTTATCAAAGAATGTATGAATAACAATTTTCATCTTAAATTCTTCACAGATTATTTTTGAAATCATACTCAAAAATGTAACTTGAAAAAGCTACCATAAAACTTTGCTTATGACACTTGTTTTCATAAAATATTTTCCTGTTCTTTTTATACTAAACGTTCTACGTTATTCCATAAAATTTACGCGTACACTCTCTTCAAATTGAGCGGAGAATGGGCTGATCCTTGGCGTCGCAATCGGCCGGTAGATCACGCGCCATCTTGAGAGCGGGTCGGGGACTTTTTCTTTTGTTGTTACAATAAAAAGCGGTGGCATGGCGCCGGGTATCTGGCCACGCGTTATCTCGGCCGAACACAAACAGCACTTGTCCATTAGAAGTAATCGGTGATGCCACCAACACGCACTCATTGTCTCGGGGCAACCTGGCTGGATTCCTCTCGTACACGTTTGCCAGCCAATGTTGGTAGCCCTTTAGCTGCGTTATTCGCAGAGAAAGTAACACGTTTGACACGCACGAATATGCATTTGGGAGAAAAGGGACGAATTGCGAGTCGCCGTGTCCAACACTGAATTGATGGTGACGATCATTTGAATACATGCGATACACAAGTTGTGATAGATACTGAGCATAGATGAAATCGTTAATTGCAATTTAAAGTGTTGATTGAAATTGTTAATTGCATTTACGAAATAGTGGTAGAAAAAAATTCGAAGATATGTGAAGTCTGCCAATCCGCTACGGGGACGCGTGGTGGACTATGCCCTAATGCCCTCTGTGCAGAGGAGGCCTTTGCCCAGCAATGCGTCATAATAATATAATCTTTTTATTTTATTGCATATTTTTAGTAATTACTGAGACACCGCTGTCTGTCTTTCCGTCCGTCTGCTCAATTTCATAAACCGTTATAGTTAAACAGGTAAAATTTTGACAGATGATGTATTCTGTTGCCGCTATAACACCATATTCTAAAAAATATAATTAAAAAAAATTAAATGGGGCTCCCGTACAACAGACATCTTTTTTTTTGCCGTTTTATAATATAGATAATGGTACGGAACCCATTGTGCGCGAGTCCGACTCGCACTTGGCCAGGATTATTCACGAACGGACGCGATCGAGTTCTGGCGCTTTGAGCAACGATTTTTATCCATCAAAGTTCCGCAAAAATGATTAGATAAACAGTGTATTTAGTATTCAAATGATCCTATTAAATATGCTAATGTTCCAACCTTACGATTTCGATATTGAATCTGTCATTTTAAACGTGATCATCCGATAAGACAGGATAAATAAATACATTTTTATAACATACCGCGTCAGGTCCAAAGATACATAGTAGTATGTATAATAAAGTTATATTAAAGATTGCTTAAATATTAAGCAACGAAATACAACAAAATATTTTATCCTGCAATTTAATTTATGAGACTCATATTATAATGTGATCAATTTACAAAACTTAACTGGTGTGGTCTTGGAGAATAAATGTTAACACGTTTTTAGAGTAATAAATAAAGGATCTCATATACTTTTAGACATGGCTCTGATTTATTAATCTAATTTTAAAAGCTTTTGTCCTTGTATGTACATTTACTAAAACATGTTCAAAATGAGGGTCTTCATTTCAAAATTTTCGTATTCCATATAGTGTTGAGAAATTTTATATTTTAGTAATTTAGAACAAAGAGGCTACAAATAATAATATACATAATATGTCATTAAGTAAAATAACACAGGGCGATATTGCGTAGATTTTTGCTACTTCTTAATTTCTTTGTTTCACAGATCAATACTGGCAAGCACTTATTAAACGATTGAAAATTAAAAAAAAAAAACATTACGCATCGTTAGTACTTCAGGTAATTATATTTTTTATGGCGACGTTAATAGCCATTTTGCCCACCATTTGTAGGTCTGCCTTGTCGACGGAAGTATATTAAATAAGGGATCCGTCTACGCGGTCGTCCGCGCTTATCTTAACGACGACAGAAGACGATGGAGTTTAGCTGACGCCTCGGTTGGAATAATTATTATCAGTAACATTTTATAGAAGGTCGGAGAAGTATTATACGGAACACGTTGTTTTTGGACATAAATCTGTCACTCTTGAGCAGATATAAGTGTCCAACTTTTGAATTACTTAGAATTTAAAAACATTAGTTTGATTGTGGACGCCAAATTAAATAGGGTAATAAATTGTTGCTTGTTCACAAAGGGTCTTAAGATTAATTCAACCTTAATATATTAAGCAATGATCATGAACGCGACAAAAATATAAAGCCTTTTCGCAATCATGCTTTAGATTTATTTCATTTCAATTATTAGAAGTATCTCCAGTTTAAGGACAAAAAAGATCTAACCTACTAGACCGTTTGAATAAGACAGATATTTTTCGTATAATTGAATAAAGTGTTCAGTCCACTAGAAATGTCTCCAGTTTAAAGACAAGATCTAACGTGCAAAATCGTTTGAATAAGACACTATTCGAAACGATATAACCAGTCTCTCACCACATCCTGGGATGACTAGTAGAGAATGCCTTTGGGCATTAAGTCCGCCCTTTGTTACCTCGTTTTAATAAATGTTGGCAATAAATATTAAATAAATAAATAAACCAGTACACAGGAGTTAGTGGTGAAGAAACTCTCACCTCCACTTCGTCCTGCGGTTCTGGAACCAGGTCTTGACTTGAGCGTCGGTCATCTTCAGGGTCTTGGCTAGCGAGGCGCGTTCGGCCGACGCGAGGTACTTCTGTTTGTGGAACCTCTTCTCCAGCTCCGCTATCTGCAGCCTCGTGAAGGAGGTCCTCGGCTTCTTCCGCTTCGGCGGCGTCCGGTTCTGGTAGGGGTGCCCAATCCGCCTCGTGATGGGGAAAGACGCTGCAAAGGGAAACCCTTCTTTAGAAAACCAGTTTTTGACGTTATACCTCTTTTGGCGCGTTTGACCCCCAAAAAGAGAAATGATGAAGTTAGTTTCAAGGCAACTTCATTATGCTTTGTTCCTATGGGTGCTTTGCCACCAACTTCTTCTTACCATGACAACCAGTAATAATTTTTTGACAATTACCTATAACTCCAAGTTACAACCGTTGTCAATTACATTTAATGTCTTTTCACGAACAAAGAGTACTGGCAATAGGATATTCAGTTATTTTTTGTTACGCTAGAAAAGTATGATTTCTTACGTGCGTACATAGGTACACACACACTTTTTTATACGAGACTGCCAAGTGCAGACGTTGATGGTAAACGCACTAGCTTAGTTATAACCTATTCAAATTAATACATTAGCTCGTGGATATAAGAGTAGCGGAGAAAGTGCCAACCCTAGAGGAAACCTTTTCTGAGTATGATGCATATATATAAGACAAAGGTTTTACGAAGGAATGTCCTACGTATGCAACAGAAACTTATTCAAAGGTATTGGCAGCTATGAATCACGAAGAAGCAGTACAGACAAAATGTTTTTGAGTATATGTGTGTTGTTGCTTAATCGAATAATTGATTTAATAATTTTGATGGCTGATACTAATTTTTGACTGACGACTATTACTAATTTTTTCATCGAACCGACTTAACTTAGCAATTAGTTTTTCGTTGTAGATGTTATCTTGTTAGCTGCATTACTATTCGTCTCATCTACATAAAAATATCTGTAGTTGGACCGTTAACGGAAAACATCAACACTTTAACAATCAGAAGCTACGTTGATAATTGAGCAAGGAACATCAATAATACACAATTATTCGCTTCATACCAACTTACACAGATTTTAATAGTACAGAAGTTTGAAATTAGAAGCGTTATCAAATAATAACATCGAAGCAATGACTCAACAGAATCCAAGACTCGCTATATATTTACGTCTTATCTGCGTAATTGAAATCACCGCTCAATCGTCTTTAATACGCGCTCGAACAAAACGTCATGAATAAATAAAAAACTCATTAACGCACTCGCCCCACACAATGCCGATGTATTTTCCATCTTTAATAAAGCCCAAATTACATGTTTGCCGTCCCATTGGTCGGTCGTAGTAACTAAGTTGTGTGGGATAATTTATTCAAGCATATTATATAACCAACTGAGAAGGATCGTAGAATATAATGTATGTAATAAAAGAAGGTATGTAATACATATATAAGTTCTAAACTTTTATAATTTTATTTTATTTACAAAGAGAAAAGTCTGCACTAGGAAATAATTCGTGTTGTGGAAGGTTTTCCATGATGAGTGAAAAACATTCAAACTAATTGAAACAATTATTCGGAGATGATATAAATATTTTTTCCGTGCGGGGATCGAACCTACGACGGTAATAAGTATCGAGGTTTTTAGCACATAAAAGCAAGAACAGCTAGCAGCTAATACATGCACGGTACACGAATGTCGTTGGAAATTTTTAAAGCGTCCAATAAATGGATTCGTGATTAAAAGTAGCCAGGATTATCCACGCGGAATAATCGCATGTATAAAATGTCCAGAATGGCGGCAATTTCGTTGGCCTCGTACAATGTGACTCAATAAGTTGAACCGCTGATGCCGCATCACGATTGGTCCACTGCCAGGTAATGATCGGCGCTCTGCGTAATAGATCGATTTGCGTTAAATGATCCGTGAGATGAGGTCGTGCCGGTAACTGGGATGTCTGTTGTCTGCGGCTATGTGGATCCCGTGTTCATTACGAGATTATTCTAACGACTCTGACTTGAGTCTATAAAGCAGTTCCGGTAATTTCAAGTCACCCGAACTTCTGTATGTCCGACGTGAATTGGGTTGTTCGGGTGTGAGGTTCTGGTGAGTTATTGGGTATATAAATAATAGGACAATAGTTTAATTATGGATTAATAAAGAACGTCCAAATTGGGTAGTTAAGTATTGTAAATAATTTATCGTTGATAACTTGTAGGCTGTATGTGTTATTAAATTTATACCTACGAATCATAGAAAAATTCTACGTTTTGAACGATTACTATATGCTGTCAGTAACTTTTCAGAATGAAATATAAGGGAATTGAAGTAAAAGAATTTAAATGGAGTCTATTATTACCTTTTAATTTTTCTATTCCGCAAATTTATAGTCAATACAATTATTTTCATTATCAATGTGCATAATTCACCGCAATTGTGCGGTGAATTATGCACATTATAGTCAAAACAATATTTTTATGGTTAATGCATAATAATGTTTCCGATTGCATGGCTTCAAAGACCTGCATACACGGATTCCGTGACGACATTTGTGCTTTTTCAAAAATGGAATCGCATTAAACGGCGCGCTGCGATTGGCCCGTGAAACGTAATGGCCGCTTCACGTGACCGCAAACGGCGCGGCAATTGCGGCCTACGTAATTTGCTCGTAGTAAAGGAACGCTGCTTGCGACCTTTGTTCCCCCAAGCACTAAGTGTTGCCCTTCGTCATTTACTTTATTAGAGACAATGCACCTTTTCATTCTTTTCTCTTGCTTTATACGCGCGTGATTGTTCGGCGGAAAGTCATTTCATTGTTACATTAAATAACATTAAAGTAAACAACTATTTAAGTCAATCGTAGCTACCTATATCTTTTCTTTTGAGTCTGTGTTATGCTTTTTTCTATATTTCTGATGTAACATAAGCAGTGATGTGATTTGATGGTAAAATCACAAGCTCAGTGAAAGCATTCACTTCTTAGTGTGGAGCCAGGAGAAAGTTTGCCAAAAAAGGATAGAAGACTGTTGAGCGTCTAGTCAACTATGTATTTAATATATCCTGCAGGCATAAGCACTGAAGCTTTTGTCTATCTTTATTTATGTTATTATATCCTTAAGAAGAAGAATATCCTTGAAAGAAAACAAATATGCAAGCATTCAAAAAAATACGAAGCGACTCCTAACCTTTACTTTCAAAGCTTACAGTGCTCCTCCAAAACGTCAATTAGTAGGTACTAGGAATTAACTAACATTAAATTGTTTCATTTGCGAGGTTATGTCTTAAAAATATATATAATAAACATATGGCCTTTGCCCGACAGTGGACAATATTATACAAACACCTGCAGACTATGTATTTTATTTGGTACATAAATCAGCAAACAGAAATATACACATTACAATAATGTTAAATTGGGTAAACGATTGCATACTGTCTGTGTGAATGTCCGTACGCAACATTCTACAATATTATCGAAACAATGTTCCCAAGTAAAAAAACCCCAAGCAAAAAAAATACCCAAAACAACAGCTGTTAAAATTGTAACACAAAAACAACAAGAACAAAAACACGCTATGGACATGTAATAGATAATTGATTTGAAGTTTTTGGTAGAATGTTACAGTGATCATCGCTACCATACAGCCTTTATACAGTAACCGGACTGAAAGCGCACAGATGATATAAGATCATGCAGCATATGTAGTCGTAGAAACAACACAGATTAGCAACGCCCGAATATTTCACTTACGTCACACGGCTAGGCGTCGGGGTGGAAAAGGGTGCGGTAATAAGATTCCGCGGGTCGTAATCCGTTTAGAGGCGTATGATTCATGCGTGAGGGGCGCCGGCCTAACGTGTGGCCTATGGTTATTGTTACGTTATAAGTACAGGATGTTCTTATTTGAATCCCCAATTTGAAATTAGAATTCGATTGAGCTTGCAAAATATATATATATATATATATATATATATATGTATAAGGAGGCTAAGTACTAACTAATTACTTAAATTACTAAATTAGTCCAAAAGTTACGAATGGTTAGTTTAAATACTGCTTATAGTTTAAGTGTAAGTAAAATCTTGAAGCTTCTGAAATTAAGTTTATTTAAATTTTAAAAGGTGTATCATAAGCCAGTTGTCCACTTCTCAACATAGATCCTAATGACTTCGCACAAGAATCGGTTCTAAGCCAAATGCATCCAAACGTATGTTGCTTTTTTTTTAATCATCATCATCATTTCAACCTGTATTAGTTACCACACAGCCACCCCTTCCCCCCAGACTGTCAAGAAGCACGATCTTGAGGCACCTGCGACCATCCATCGCCTTCTCGAAATTTTGCAAAAATCGTGACTCCATCTAGAGAGGGCTCGTCCTAATTCTTTAATAAGTGCATCGTCAAAAGTACTTTATAGAAATAAACACAGAATATATAAACATAGAGAAATAAAACATGTATCGTTATAAAATACATAACGCGATTTAAAGTTTTTACAAGACTTTTACGAACCATCCACCGCGTTTACGATATTTTTATTGGCCTAAAACATTTGCCAAGTCGTAAAGGGTTTAAAAATGGAAACATCAAATCGAACATCAAATACAAAAGTAGGGTGATAATATTATGATGGTTAGAAGAATTAGCACGCAAATTAACATTGAAGGCTTTAAGACTCTCGGGGGGTGATCCTTTTACGATATCATCCCTCAGGGCACAACCCTTGCCGCTCTCAGTTTGGGTTAGCGTAGTGAAAAGGAATCTGTTTTGTATCATTCTATGTCATTTCTTTCAAACTGATCATTTATTAATATCTCCTGGTCTCCTAAGTTATGAATTGATAAGATTATTACTTTGTTGATGTATTGTGTGAGCTATTATTGCTGGTCATGAACCACATGTAGTGTTAGCTGAATAAGTCCTTAGAAGTGAGTACGATTTCAAATACTCCAAGAATTACGGCTAAGTCTCACTCGTACTGAATTTCAAAAAGTTTAAGTTGAGGTATCAGAGATTCTCGCACATATTTATCTCGCCCCACCCCAAGCGGAGGGTGGGGGCCCGAAAAAGTCCCGGGAAGACGAATGCCTGACGTCTAATTGGTCTCAGACGTCACTTGGGATTAGAAGTACACGCTCCATCATTCAGATAGTAGCATTTGTCCGCGCCCGTTGAATTTCGGGCGGATATTTCTGTATTAACAAGCACCCAGTATGAGCTGTACGATAGACATGCAAACTCATATATAACGGTTTATTTATACGATTGTATTTGGTTTAATTTTCTCGGTTAGTGTGTAAGTAAAACAATAATGACATACTAATATCTTGTATATACTGGAATAGTCCTAAACGTTCAATAATTATCTGTCCTGTGATCATGAACATTACGAACTGTACGAATAACTAAAACTAACAATAAATAATATAAAATAAAATAACTAACTTAAAATAAAATTGTTGTAAACACTTCTTGTTGATATTAGGTATACGTCTTGATGATG